CTGCGCATGGAATCTAATAACATACATCGTCGTTTCCTAGGGAACGTAACCATACATTTCAATGTTGCCAACTTTCCTTTCACCATATTTACAATTTCACCCGGAAGCTTTTTCTTAAAAATTTTATACATACCTCCATGTAAACCACATTTGGGACAGAAATTGTGCCATCGTTTTGATGTAAAAAGTAGAATTTAGAGAGTATATTTTGCAACCTTGGAACGGAGATACGTTTCTTTGTTTTGGAAACGACGATATTTTTCTTTTAAAATGAACCAGAATTATTATGTTAGTTAGTTAGTTAGTATATGTTAAGACATTCAGCATCACAGGCTATTAATGTCTTTACAGAGAATTTTGAAAATGGTTAAGTTCTTATCGCAAAATGTATTACATTTATACTCATATGTCGCGATGCATAACTTCGGTTTTCCGATTCTGACGGACGAATGAGTATATATCTCTCTTTCGTGGGAGCCAAGGGCTGAGGGTGGAATTGAAGGGCGAGGTAGGCACGTCTAGCACCTAACCAAGATTAACATCCCTCTCGAGGCCGCGAAACCGCAGTCCAGGGACTCGATAAAAATCAATTTCCGAAAGACACCGAGTGCGTTTATGGAGGGGAGCTATTCATGAGCCGTATCGGAGTCCCTGTTGCGCTGGGAGTCTAGACTTATACGCCTCTTTCATTACCAATAAAAACTGGCCGACCATGTTGTGCGGCTCATATTTCGCCACTTTATCCCACCAGGAAAAGCGGGAACTCAATTCAGCCGCATTCGGGAAAAATAGCTTCTAAATACGTTCGGACGCTCCTAAATTTTCTCAGATAAAATACGTACTGATTGTGAGCCATTCTTCGTTTAATGAAGGGATTTTCTACACTCCAATCCCTCTGAAAAAAGAGGTTAAGCTTATAGCTTGAAGTTTATTTGTATGATAGGGAATATAACCTCAAACTAAGATTCCTCAAAAGTAGTTAAGCTGGTTGCATACCTGATGCGCTTTAAAATCGCAAAAGATAGAGAAAATAAAGTCTTCTGGTGGAAGAAATGATTCAAATTCTAACGAATGAATTCCAATGTCCTTCGTTTTGTGTGTTAGTAAATATATCATAACTTGCCCGGAGGATTGTTTTTCACAACTGGAGTTAGGTTTTTTTTATATATATAAATCGAGATGTGTCATTCACTTTTAATCTCTCGCTTTGTCATTTTTACTTTCATCGTAGTTTCAGAATTATTTCAAGCCAAACTACGATTTTTTTTATATAAAAAGATATCTAATAGTGTCAAAAATATTTGAGTTTTAGGGACCTCGAGACGTCATTTGGAAATCTAGAAATAATAATATAAGTAGCTGTAAACAAGTTTTGAACCTAGATTTGTAGAGCAATCTTAAACACGTTCAGAAAAATGTGACATTTACGAACATTTGGTCTATGAGTATTGAAAGAAATCGTTAAAAATATTAATCCTTATCTCATGTTTTAAATTTCTCTCATAGCTTTAAACTGTGCTTCCACATCCTTTGATAAGAAGGCAAAGCGACCACTCGGGCCACCAACAGAAGTAAAATCACTGAAAAGCTCTGGTTCGAAGTGTTTTTTCGTCCGCCCTTCCGTCCCTCTCAATTTAAATAAAGAAGTCTCTCTTCATAAACCGCATACAAAGTTAATTCCGAACACATTTTTCTCGCATCGTCTCAAATAAGGGGTCTGCATCATTTCAATAAAACTTCCGAAAGGGTCGCCCACGGCCTCCTGCTGCCGAGAATTTTAAGGACCTCCGCGGGTGCGACATTCCAACGAAAAAACAACTCATTTTCCGTCATAATCTACACGAAAAAAAGTATTTCCCTCGTTCACAGTGGCATTTTTTGCCTCGATGTTTCCCCCGTTCCCACCCGATTTTCCCGCCTCTTAAGTTTCTTTTCAGTAGCGAAGCGTGATAATCGGTTATCGATTTACTCCCACTTGAAGATATGGTAAAGAATCGATTAGTAAGGCTCACTCTGACAATCGATACTTTTCTATGGGTTTCAATGGCAGTTCAATCGATCCATCGTAAAGCACGACACGCAACTGTTTTCCGCCGACAAAAACCGAACTTCTTCAGACGCCGCGAAAATTCCTTTTTCTGGATTACCGCCAGACTAAGTGAACTCAGCTTAAGTCAAACGAAAACTCTGTAGGGCGTACGCGGTTTTTGCTTCGCGTGGAAGATTAAGCTTGGGGTGGCGCTGAGGGCTCCCCATTGACAAATCCGACACTTAAGAATGCAACAAAACCGTCGCTGCGTCCCTAGTTGTGTCAATTCATTGGAAGTTTGCAATTCGGCCTTCGCAGCCACCCGGCCGACTTGAGGTTCTTTCGAAGAAGACTCAATTGAACCGTTTATTTTAAAGAGGACTTACAGGCCAAAAACTCGTGAGCCAAGGACGTGGTGACGATTAAAGAAAACGAGCGTTAAACGGGTTCAGCGTCTGGGCGTCCCGAAAAGTGAACGACTCTATAGAACTGCCTTTACTTTTTTCGCCTTTAATCTTTTCTGACTTCTCTTCCAATTTGTTAGGACCGACTTCCAAGTTCTCTCCTCTTTTAAAAAATGAACACTGGCTTTTCCTTCTATTTTATCAGTGCCGACAAAGACGGGCAGGACACTTTAGGTACGTTCATAATGTCGCTGAGTTGAAAAAAATCGCAGAAATTAAAAAACGATTTTTTTTTTTTTTTTTTTTTTTTTTTTTTTATACCGAAATATCAACACCTCGAAAATAACATAATATAATAATGTGAGTATCATCGAAAAGTTTTCTGACCGATATTGCTCCTTGAATTGGCGTAAATTCAAACTACAGCAATCTTAAATTCAATTTTAAAAAAAAATCGATTCAATCACAGTGATCGATGCATAAGAAACGCTAAAAACACAATGGGCCTGTTGCAAACTTTTGCTAGAGCAAAAATAAGAGTTGTTTCTTATAGATAATGCCTCAAAAATCACGATGAGCGCATCGGCAAAGTCTGAAATGCACTCATAACTTCACAATCTGCGTAAGAAATTTGCGTTTTTTTAAGCTTCCCGCTTCAAAAACGATACTAGGCATAGGTGAACATTTTGTTAGAGCAGTCGCTCCATCGTCGGCGATATTCATCATGGCCGACGCTTGCACGCAGTTCCGCGCGTAATTCAAGGAGAGTTCAAGGTCAATCAATTCGGGCGTGGAAAATATGAGCGTTAACACACCGATTGTTATCTGGTCTAATCCAGTTCAGGTGTTATCTCGTCCCATCAAACGTGTTTTGGCGGATTGGCGTCGGCTATGATGATTATTGCCGACGATGGAACGACTCCTCTTACAAATTGTTCACCTGTGCCGTAGTATCGTTTTTGAATCGGGAAGCTCAAAAAACCGCAAATTTCTTACGCAGTTTGTGAAGTTATGAGTGCATTTCAGAGTTTGCCGATGCGCTCATCGTGATTTTTGAGGCATTATCTATAAGAAACAACTCTTAGTTTTGCTCTAGCAAAAGTTTGCAACAGGCCCATTGTTGAAAATCTTATGCTTGCACATTCGTTTGGAGTGCACAGATTGAATAGGTTCGGTGCGCGTTGATTGAATGGAATGGATTTCATCATTTCCTACCGTAATGAGGAAGCAAAGTGCCGCGTTGTCTCGTTTGATGTTACTCTCCTTGCTGCTGCTACGTCGTCATACTTACGCGCTACTTTTTACTTTTAACAAAAAATAGAAAAAAATTGTTTTTAGGTTGTTTCTGGATCTTCGTTTGCGAAATCTGTTTTCATTCTATTAGGATTTCAGGTTGAGGTTTATTTTGGAATGTTCTTTTGTTGCTTTCCAAGAATATTTATCATTGAATAGTTTGATATGCATGGTAACGACTTTTTGAAAAATCAAAGACCTCGAAGTCGTAGAATATTTGTCATACAAGAAAAACTCGACGGGAATAATTTTTGGAATAAATTATAATGTGCGTCAATGTCTGGCCGAAGTCCCATCAGGAAATCAAAGATTGAAGCAGCCCTTATGCTGTCGTCTTCATATCTTAAATGACAGATTTTGTAATTGGGAACTAGCATTTCTAGCTCATCCTTAAAAACACGCATAGGCATAGAGGAACTAATGATACACACGTTGTTTCTTAACTGAGCCAGACATTGCAGTCCTTAATCGCAAAATGCAATCCAAATAGCAAAAATGAATAGCTTGACAGTCACATATTTTTCAATGTATGTATGTATGTTCTGGTTCACCGATGGATCGAACCATGAACTCACATACCTTATTACACAATATAAAGACCGACCGACACTCCAAATTTTCTACCGCAAAATATTCATTTTCAGCAAAATTGGCTAATTTTCACCCGACTTGGTATCTCAAAGAAATTTACGCGCAATCAAATCCGAATTTCTCCCATTTTTTCAGAGAGATATTCTTAATTGTGTGCAAAATTACATATAGACCGCGTTAAACAGAAAGGAACCAAGCCACATCAGCTATTGTCAAATTCAATTTGACAATTCAATTTTCTACATGAAAACGATTGTACGGATTTTTGTGCAAATTTCAGCGAATTTTCTCCTTAGTGCGAAGCAAATTCCTTAACATTTTCAAAGGAATCCACAGAAGCGTTCTCTTGTAAAAAATTAAATTGCCCAGTTAAATTTGGCAATAGCTGATGTGGCTTGGTTCCTTCCTGTTAAACGCGGTCCAATTAACCATAGTTTCCGAAGAAATCCGGCAACATCTTGACGCTCTTACGTCGTTTTTCCTCCGCGCAGCGATTCGAGGCCGCGGAACGACGGAAGCGCGGCCGTTCGTCAAAAACCCCTCCATTGTTCAACTGTTCGGTTGCTAATCCGAAAGTGTTACATTACGTGATTGCTTTCCCGTCGCTCGATGTTGGGCGGGGGGCGAGGGGTTGGGTGGCAGAGGCAAGGAACTCACCGAATCGGGGATTTTTCTGCTTCCAGGAAACTGCAGCGGTCCCCTGGGCATGGAGTCGGGAGCCATTTCGGACGCCCTCGTTACAGCCAGCTCATCTTACGTGCCCAACGTCGGCCCCAAGAACGGACGGTAAGCCATTTAATTGCTCCTCTCTCTGCTTCCCGATGAAATATTCATGCCGGAAGCGACGCACGGTAGGTCGAGCCTTTGGGAGACATTGATCATGAAATCTCTGACTATAATTTGACATTTTGGCAATGTAGCATTGCGTCCATGCTATTGGACTCCATGTTCACCTATAATATACTACCGTGCTAAGGGAAAACGCCGTATGAACCTTCAGGCTTTGCCTGAGGGTAAAGTATCTGAAATTTCAAGGACATAATATGTTCATAATTTTCTTCAAAAATTAATATTTTATCGTAGGAAATTTGGCAACTCTCGAATGCTCATACGGCGTTCTTCCTTAACGCGGCAGAATACTCGGCTGCTCATCACGTCCAATATCTTCGACTCCGTGCTCACTTTAATGAATAATCATTTTTTCGAAAAATCAAAGCCAGCATAGCGTCCAAGATTAAGGGATAAAGAGATTCTCTGACATAAAATGAGCATCGGATCCAAAAATGTGTAAAGAGAATTTTTCTGAAATAAAGACCAAAAAACTGTGTCTTTGTAGAAAAGTGTGCATTGGTTAGGGCTGGTTAGGTTAGGTTCTATGGTCAGATTAGATAAGAAAAGTATGTGATTTCCTATGGACATCGTGTGACATGGACATCAAGGGTGAGCTGGAGTCCAATATCTTGGACGTGTTGCTCCATAATCCAAATTATGATGTTTATTCCGTCGTATTATAAATCATCAGTGATACTCATTAAAGTAAATTTTACCTTAAAAGAACATTTTTTAAAAATTTAGGTACTCTATTAACGTAGAAACAGACGTCGAAAGTTTTCCGATATTGTTTTACTTCTCCCTTGGACTCGCTTCTTTGTGCGAAGGCTCGACTGCAAACCCATGTATTTCAATTCTCCGTTGCCAAGACGAAAGAATGTAACTGCATTCTAAAGTTGCAAGATTGACTGAAATAATCCAATTTCATGATGGGCAGATGCATGTGATTCGGACCAAATTTTGCAATTTTAGGAACTAAAATGTCTAGCTCTTTCGATGCAACTTGAACTGTTAGTTTCTTCATGCAGATAGGTGTTTTCATGCATGAGTCAGAAATTTGAGTTCCATTTTGAAGAAATCATTTCAATAGTTCTGCTACGTTCCTTCGTTACGTGCGTCATTTCCTACCAGGCGGTGTCCGATCCGAGCGAGAAATGAAAAACTCCTTCAGTATGTGGTTATGCCACTTTGGAGTTGAAATATTTGTATCACGCCTTTTACTCTGGATGTGACTCAGTGTCTAAAAATGCTGGTTATCAATCTAACATTGGATTGAGAAAAATCGACGAATAAGTAAGTAATCGCTGAAGTCAATAAATAATATATGCAGCTTACATCAAAATGATTTCAAACCTATTTACGAAGTTCAAAATCTGCGTACCTGTCGAAAGCTCGCTGCCTTAACATCTTTTAAGTGATGAAATACTCGTATGAATGCTCGAAACATCTTTGTTCCGTTGTGTAATAAGTAGCTCGGCTCGCATTGCCGTACAGAAAAGCTCGAAGAGGAGAGAGAGGGCGGAAAATGCGCATTAAAAAGATTAAGACTCCGAGATTCAACTGGAGCGCTGAGCGGGGTGTGGCAACGATTTTATTAAGCGCCTCTCTCGTCTTTCCTAACTCGCGTGCGACCAGCCCAAGTATGCAAAAGGTCGCCATGATGCCGCATAACGCTTGTAAATAAATGAAAATGAAACACTAAGAAGTGGCCCGAACTGTATGTAACAAGGTGGGGAAATGGTGCTGGGTCCACGCCATTTCGTGGGGATAACAAAGCCAAGAAATTCCAAAAATTGAAATTAAAATCAAAATTTAATTTTTTGAACTCTAATGCGGACATGTATGTAACTGAGGGGGAGAGAGTGTTCAGCTCAGGCAGTCTGCATTGGAATATTACGTTGGAGTCACGCCGAGAGATCTATACCTGTTTGGGCCTTTTTAGACCTCATCAGCAGATCACATTCGGCAGTGAACCCAACTTAACATGCCGCAAAATCCAAGACGGTATTAAAACGCCGCCATGGATATGACCCCGGTATGACACAAAAGTTTGATCCTCGCGCCATCTACCACGAAATGGTGTGGACCCAGCACCATTTCTCCACCTTGCTTGTAAATAAATATACTTATATTTTTAAGATAGTAGGACAAAATGTCCGAAGATAAATGTCCAAAGTCAAAAAAGTCCAAATCCAAAGCATGTCCAAATACATGGAATGTCCGATAGCGGTATTATGGTCAAATGTAAAAGTACCGAAATGTGAAATAATTTGACTTTCCACCAACAAGTAAATGGTAATATTAATTACCTATTACTCACAGTAACCAAACATTTGGGCAATTTTGATTTCGGCGAGGATACCGCTATTGGACATTCCAGGGACTTGGAAATTTTTTATTGTTGGACTTTTCTTATATTGGACATTTTTTTACTCTGAACATTTGTTTTTGGACATTGTGACCTATCACCTATTTCCATGAATTAAACACGATCCCTTGTCCCCCATTTTTCTAGCTAAAAATTGCTCTTAAATGAGAGTACACTACACTTCACTGGAACAAAGAGTTAACGAGGCAGAAACACCGAAACTATATAAAAGAAACGAAAAATTCATAAATCGAAAGTCCCAGCTTAATTAAAACCTTATAAAACCCTCAATCCCCTAATAGCCTTCATAAGCCGTATTAAGCGTAATTAGCCGTTTAGTGCGACATCCAATGGCTCCCTTTAGCCCACTTCAGACAATGTTAGAAATGTCGGGTCCTTAAGCTGTGGAGATGAACACAGCATCACTGCTAATGTATTTGCTCCCTATCCTTTGGATGGAGAGTTTGTCCTGATGTAGAGGTGGACTCTCAAGATAGCGTGGAATATCCCCTCCATTTTGGCCTCAACTTGAGAGCTTTTTTGAGCTTGGAAGTTGATTTCAGGGGAAACCAGTGGCCCCATCGTGTTTTTTGCAGACTTTTACATAAGAATCAACAGTCAAATCGCAAATTCCTCACACATGCTACATCTCCGTTCAACCAAAAATTTTTCTGTAAAAAAAATGGTGCCGGGACTTTGCAAACATTGCACGGCGCATGTGATACTTAAGCCGGAAGGTGACGATAAAGGAGCTTTGGGGAACTCTTCCCAGCGAACATATTTTCGAGTCGGATCCGTCCTATTTTTTCGCGAAACGTGACAGCGTCGAGGCGAGGGTATGTTCTCGGTCTCGGTGGAAACATATTCTCGTGATATTTCCACCTGAGTTGTTTTAATGTACCCGGTAATTGTTTTAGTAGTGAGCGTTTCACATCGCCAAGAATCAAATACTACGCCTTGTCCTTTCCGTTCTCCTCCCCCTCACCCCGCCGCCCGCCGTGCCGGCTTCTCCGGGGCTTCTTCAAGCCGCTAATGTTAATTTTATGTTCACTCTCAAGATAAACACACAGCATGCCTCGCTCCCGAAGTTTCCGGCATTTAATGTTTATTGAGACGCAGCGCTGGCTGCTTTTCGAATTTTCGGATGATCAGCAAATTGAAGATCACCGGGGGTTGCGACGTGCTCATCTCGGATTTTCAGGACGCGTGGTTGGCAGCCCGTTAAATAGGCTCAATGCGCGAGGCCTCTCTACCAAGCTAAAGAAAAACGTCATACGAGCCTTCAGGTGTTGCCAAATTTCCATCACTAAAATACAAATTTTCAAGGAAACTGTTCACTGGAAAAAAACACATTGGATCTACAGTCCAGACTCTTAAAAACATCCACAAGAATAGGTACTCTTGATTCAATCAGATTTAAGCTTAAATCAAGAACCAAGCCTCTTAATTTGAGCGGATTTCCTTTTGATTTAAGCCTAAATCTGATTGAATCAAGAGTCATTTTTCTTGTCAATATTTTCATGAGTCTGAACTCTAGATCCAATGTGTTTTTTTTTCCAGTGTTGGATATTTTTCCTTGACTTTGTCAAACAATTTTGTACATAATTTAATCTAAAATATCTAAAAATTTCAAGAGAAATTATGCATAACTTTGCTCAAAAATACACGTTTTATTCGGAGAAATTCGGCAACTCTTGAATGTTCATAAGCCGTTCTTCTTTAGCATGGCAGCTCTGGAGGAGGTATAATTTTGAATGTGTACACGGGAGAAAAATCAGGTTAAAAAGACCTGAAGCGATGTTTTTCTTTGTAGACAAAAACAAATTTTCCTCATACTTATATTATGCGCGCGGCCTTTCTGCCGTGCTAAGGAAAAACGCCATATGAGCCTTCAGGCGTTGCCGAATTTCCATCAATAAAATAATAGTTTTCAAGGAAACTGTCGGATATTTTTCCTCGAATTTGTCAAATAATTTTGTGCCTAATCTAATCTAAAATATCTAAAAATTTCAGAAAAAACTATGCATAGCTTTTCTGAAAAATGCACGTTTGGTCCGGAGAAATTTGGCAACTCTTGAATGTTCGTACGGCGTTCTTCCTTAGCATGACGGCTCTGGAGGAGGTATAATTTTGAGTGTGTGTAGGGTTACTACGGGGCTCGAATGCAGAGAAAATTGGGACACACGGGAGAAAAATCAGTTTAAAAAAGATCTCAAGCCATGTTTTTCCTTGGGGACAAAAACACATTTTCCTCATGCTCATATGTAACCCTTATAACTACGATTCAACTATACGCCGTATATTTTCTTACCAAAATGCTTTCTGATAAGAAAATAGCACCAACATACTTCTTCCAATTCTTGAATCGAGAAATTTGCCATAAAATTTTTAGAAATTTTTCCAAGCAATTACCGCAATAATAGTTGAAAGTACATACTCCTTCTAATTCCTATAACTCAAGACATTTCCCATAAAATTTTCATCAAGCAATTTCTGTAATTTTACATTTTCAATAAAAATTACTCTTTAGAAGGTAGTCCAATGCCAAATAACGCAGTAATGAGGCTCTAATTTGTGTTACAGTGCG